TCTCTCTCTCTCTCTCTGTAATTTCTGCACAATTCAACTGAACTTTATTGGAATCATATAACATTTACAGTGGCATGCATTTGTCAACAGGCTGCTGTAAGGCTTTTAATTTAAACTTATAAGATGATAATATTAATAAATAATAATAACTACTATTTGTCCAATAGCTGTGTTCAAATCTTTGATTTGGTTTTAGGAAATATGATCTCTAAGCCTGGACTGTGTATCCCCCTCTTAATCTCTGAGTCATGGTCACTCAGTCTGCATTTTGTAATGAGTTGTATTTCTCTGATTTGGTTAATTTGGAGATAATTACCGTTGTCTATTTCATAAAAGTGACAGTTTATTTTGCTGATTTATTTCTGCTTCTTTGTTACTTTGCAGAAACGGCTGTCTTCTCTCTTCTCATGCCAGCCGTCTCATAAAAGTCCTGTTTACTTCTTACAACTTTCAGTAATAAAATGTCCACTCAAGCCCAATTTAGAACAGGCACATGATGGGGTTATATCATTAAGTTCTGGATCAGACAAGGATGTTTTTTATTGTTAATTTCACATTCATTCCATTCTCTAAAAGTGGTTAAATTCTCTTCAGCTTATACTTTTCAATAAACACTGAAGTTATCTGAATTGCCTTTAGGGACTTGTGGGAGTAAAGGTGGGTGCCTTGTGGGTCTGATATATATAAAACATTTGAGAAACCTACCTGTTTAGTGGTGGTGTTTTGTGTTAAGTTTAGTGGATTTCCTCTGGGACTGTTTTGAGCTGTGGTTGGTTTTCTCCTGTTCTCTCTTTTATTAAACTTGTTAGTCCTGAATATCATTTTACTGTTGTGTTTTTTTTTTCCCACCTTTATTTATTCAGGGGGGAGTTTCACTGAGAGCAATGCTTTCTTTTTCAGGAACGCCCTGATCACATTCACACAGTTACACATTCACACCAGCTGTCCAGTACAACCACAGTCTGGTCTGCTGGCCACTGAGCAGCTCCACTGGAGCAGTTAAGGGCCTTGCTCAAAGGCACCTCAGTGGTTGAGTGGCAAGCACTGCTTTTCACTTTCCCCACCCAGATTTTTGCCCACTCTATTCTTTTAGAGACACTGGATATATTAGCCTCTGTCTATGCTGTTGGCTTTGTCAAAGTCTTTGGTTTGGAACACTTTGGGTCCAGATATTATGATACTGGTAATTCTGTAAATGTTAGAGGTCTAGGATCAGAGTAGCTCGAACTAAAGCAAAGGGCAAGTTTAATGTTGTTTATTGTTGTCACTGTCTTCTTTCAGTTTCTTTATTGGTTGCACTTAAAACCTCAAAGTGGCATTCATTTCTCCTGCTGGCTTAAATGTATCTATGTTTACTGACATGTGAACCATGGTCATGTGTAACTCAGCTACATGCTGTGTAACTATCCCCTGAGAAGTGGACAGATTTTACACCTTAACCTCCTCCTCCAGATCTGATTACTGCCGGAGGACAGATCAATGTTAGGTGTAGCACGTGGAACCAGAAGGTGACTGGTAGCATATTTCCACCATGTTCTTGTACCACCTGTCCTGCCACTCTGTATCTGATTGCATTGACACTCCCAACTGTCAGATGGTATGCATTACAAAAAGCAAACAGACGCACTAACGTGCCCTTGATTTTTTCGAAATGTCTTATTCAACTTATGGCCTTAGATATCTAATTAAAGTAGTTTTTTCCTAGTTGCAAAACATGCATTTTTATATATTTATATAAGTTCAAGATGACCCTGTCAAATATCTGTCTGAACATTTGGCAGTTTCTGGATGGCATTGACCTCTTGGACAGGCATAACTGTTTATCACTGCCAATTAGGTATATTTTCTCAGGCTGCATTGGCATTTCTTCCTGGTTTAACATCAAACCATTCAGCTAGTCTGCTGCTGTGGTGTTCTTGGGAATTTCTATGAACTATAGTACAGCCCAATGAGTTCATTAATATTGTCTGACCCAAAAATATTCATAGAGTTAAGAAAGCTGTTTCACATTTTAATAACCAGAATGTGGAGGTGAGCTAGTTGGGACTAAATCAGGAAATTTATAAAGATTATAGTACTGAAAATGCATCAAACCATGAGAGGATAATACATATATATTTCTAGTAGGCTAATGCTCCTATGCATTTTCTGCACACAACAAGAAGACTAGACAAGAACAAAAATATTTTTGATAATCTTACTGAACCAATAGTTTAGGATTATTAAAAGGAATTCCATAAAAGCTCCTTTCAGAAAAGAGTAACAATATAAGGAAACAAGGTTTGCCCCCCTTTGTTTGGCATAATTGACACATCTTGCATGTTTCTCTGTTGCTATGGTGACATGTGGTCCATGAAATATGAAGGGCTTGGATAACGCCAGGCCAGTTACTCCATAATTAATTATAGCTGCATACATGTAGCATCCTCAACTGTACACCCTGTCACTGATTTCAGATGACTTTACCTTTACCTGATGCTAAATTGAAAATTCTATTGTTAAAGCACAAGAGTGATCCAATTCTTTCAATCTGAAATGTTAATGCATTAATTAAACATTACATTATGATTTTTCCTGCCTGGAAAATATTATGTTTAATGTAAGAAAGAGCCTAAAGTCATCTATGAGTTTTTACAAATGCTTTTAGTTGGCAGTTAATAAAGCTACATTTTCACAATAAACAGCAAGTTGGCTAATTAGAGCCGATGAAGAAGTGATGCAGCATATCGCCTCTTTTGCTTGAAAAGTGGGTGGGTGTTTTCTCTAGTTTTGACCTGCTTTATGTGGATAAGCCATTCGAAACTAAAGTAAACAGAGTAGGATATTATCTTTTGGTGATTTTGTTTGGACAACATATTCCATGTCATACGTACTTGCTATTAAGCATGACTCAGAAAGGATCAAAGTGATTTTACTTGAACTGCTGTCGCAATTCCCCTGAGGAATTCTATGGTGTGACCGTGGCTTTGGCCTGTAAAGCAGCAATGTCATGCGATTAGATATGGATTACAGCTAATTTGTAATATCATATGACAAACAGACTGCTGGTTTACATTCATGTTAAAAGTCATTGTCCTGTGCTGCAGGAATAATGACCACATTGTACTGCACTTTCAACATGTTTCCACTTGCTGAGCACAGTGAATAGTTCAAGTGTATTTATAGTTTGGATATATGGACTGTACTTTTATAAAGCCCTCTTTTCTTCTAACCACTCAAAGCAAGTTTACAGTACACATTCACCCAGTCACAAACAGAAGATCACAAACAGAAGCTAACTCATTCATTCACTGATGCACAGCATCAGGAGCAATCTGGGGTTCTGTATCTTGCTCAAGGACACTT